AAATTTTCTATCCCCATTTACAAAAAGGAACATAAAAACTCTCTTTCATCCTGAGACAGATAAGCACACTAAATAAACATTCTGTGACATTAAAAGATTATTACATGGATATGCAAGTTTGCTTTTGGCTGTGATTGAAATAAAAGTAACCTGATTGATGCATTATTTACTAACTTTGTTATCAAATACCATTTTAAGATACATCATGAATTGATGTCTTGTACTATTTTTCAGTAACTATGACAAACAATGAATTCTGATGAAAAAACAAGTCATGTTCAAAAGCAATTACAACCTTTTTAGGCGGAGAAAAACATTTAATATAGGAACACAGAACAGATACATACAATCAAAGGATGAAATCTAAGAGGAATACACAGAGGGAAATGTTTACATTGACAGAATAAGAAATGAATCTATTTGGACAAAGGCAAAGGCTGATTCCAATAAACAAATCAAAAATAGCCTTCTTTTCCTTCTAAAAAGTAAGTAAATGATTACAAACACACACACACACAGACACACACACACACACTCCCTGTGCTGTTTTGTCTGTAAGAACAATCTATAAAGTCTCTTCATGTTTCTTGCCCACAATCTCCCAGCAGTTCTCTTCCTGTCTTCCATGAAGAGCAAGTAGGGGAAATGGGAACAGTACAGATTCATATTTGGCATGATTTACACTGTCTTTAATACCACCCAAAGTAGAACTAACGCAATACACTTCAACAATACTAGTAGGAACCAACACACTTCCTCTACATGGAATTACATCACAAAAGTTCAATACTTAAGGGTATAAAACATGTACTAAAACATCATCGCTACACATAAGAGATTTGGTAGGAGGGATGGCATTCACTCTGAGCAGTGGATCAGTCCAATTTCCAGTTTTTAAGAATATGTCCAGACCAAAAGATAATTGGTAAAAACAAAAAGGCTGTGATTTTGTGTATATGTATAGGAGGCTTAGTTGCTGCTACAGAGGAGTTACAAGCGAGTGGGGAAGAGGGGCAGAGAAGCAGAGGGCTGGTTTATTTTTCATATTTGCATTTATGAACACAAAAAGAAGAGCTGTCAGCAGCACACACACATGCCAATGCTCAAATAGCAGCCAAACCTGCCTCTTCCAGTCTGGGTAGACCAGACAAATAGTGACATCTCACAATCTAGGAAAATCAACAGTCAGATAGAAGGGGACAAGTAAGAGAAAAGCTAGTCCAGTTACATATCATTACCAGTGATTAGAATTTGAAGATTTAATACATTGAGGCACCAAGAAATACTGGACAACTGAAACCAGAAAACCAAATATAAGCTGGCTACATCATATCATCCTAGAGAGTAGTAAGAGAAATTAGAGATAAGTATAAGAGAAATTAATTTTGTCTTAGAGACAAGAAAAAAGACACAAGGAAAGTGACACTGCTTAGATACGTTGCAAGGTCATAAGGTATCACCAGTGTGACATGTCAGGAACCACATCCAAGGCAAGCTCTTGAGCTGCATTTTCACATCACTGCAGGCTCATATCAAACTAAAGAGAGGATAGTCCCCCTCTAGGTCATTGATGAGACTGCATCTCAAAGCTGCATGTTATCCTCTATGCTAAGATGAAAAAGCTGAACCAACGTTTCAAACAATTGGCTAAAGAAATTGGCTTAAAAATGTTTTTTCTCCTGTAGTTAGAATACTAGAAATGTTAATAGTAATCTTCCACAAGTTTAATTCATGAAAGGATCCATGCAAGATAATAAAAAATGTTTTTCAAGGATAATTTCTGACACTGTGTTGTCACTGTTAAAACTACCTATGTTTAACAATGATTAAAATGATGAGTTGAGTGAAACACACACACACACACACACACACACACACACACACAGAGTCCTGAACTGTCTGAACTGGTCAGAGAGTTCTGAGAGTTGGGGTTCTGAGAGTTGGGGAGCAGTAAAAGCTGAAACTAAGGCACTTCCGGCTACTTTAATGCATGATGATTACACCCCAGATGGCTACATAATGCTTTACAATTGACAGTGCTAGTTCACATAAATTACTTCACTTGAGCCTCATAAAAGCTACGTGGAAAGGTCAGGACAGGTATTATCCCCATTTTATAGATGAGAAAGCTGAGTTTCCAAGTCATCTCATCTGTAACTGGTTTTGTCAGTCATCTGGATTCTTATACAGGTGACTTTCTTACATGATGATACCAGGAGATAACAGCTACAAAATCCATTGAATATATCATACTACTCTTTGTACTTCTCCACCTCAGGTTTCCCAGATATAATATAGATATGATACAAGTGTCATTTTAAGTGAGAGACTAGAATGAAAGAGTGATTTGAGATTTATAGGAAGTCCTGGTTTTAATAGGCTCACCTAAAGCAGTTTTACACCTTAACTCCAGAAGCTAAGAAAAAAGTCACAATAATGACAACAGTCTTAAATAGTGAGCTTTAAAAAGCAGGTGAAATGTGTAGTTGATACATCAAACACCCAACCATCCTCAGTTCCTCAGTCTTTCCAATTTTAAGTTTACTACATCCGAACTGCACAATTTCAGAATGTAGTGTGATTTAAAAGACATACTTCAGAGAATAAAATATTTTCAAAGTTGGAGCATAAATTTGTTTTAGATTTTTAAACATGTTTATTTAAATTTCTCAAAAAGTTTATCACTTATAACAGAATGTAAGGGGGAAAAACAGCAGCAAGAAATAATACACCACCAATCTCCAATTCCTCTCTAATCTATGTGCTTCAACAAATCTGACTACCATAGATTCTGATGACAGTACCAAATGATTTATGATAACCAGAAAAAAAGGAAATATTTACAAAACAAACCTTCAGTCTGTGAAGAAAGATTCACAATCTGACTTTAAACTCTGGGAATAAGAGACACTCATTTCTGGAGAACTATGTATATCCTGAATGGCAAATTTTTGATATACAGCCCTGTGAGAATTGCATTTATAAGGACTGCACATCCTAATTAAATACAACATAAAGTCACTAAAGAAAAGTCAGATGTTATTTAGCTAAATTACTTAGAACTGGATGTGTAAGAACACAATTGTTCATTTGAGATATCTAAATTCCAGGTATCAGAAAACCCATCTGCACATTGTGCTGGAGGAAATGCAATATTTACTTGTGCATAAAGGGTAAGTGATACTTAAAAAGAAACAAAATTTCTTTACTATTGAAAATATTCCAGCTGTTAAGACATTAATAGTTGCAGCCCTATTACATGTAAATTTAACCATGCAACTGGTAAAGTTCAAACTTTCAATTAACAAACTACATGCCTTTTCAAGCATAGGCTCTCTGAGCAGTGGCAAACACCACGCAGAAATCAGTACTCTCTCCAACTTGCTTGCATATAATGAGTTACATCAAGCACGGTTCCAATACTAACGGGCATTGTATGTCAGAGATGCATGCAGTCATGCTTAATCCAAAGGGAATTAAATTAAACCATCGGATCACTCATTGCACAGAGCTGTTACCCTCGGCACACATAGCCTACACACAGGGTTTTTCCTCTGCACGCTACCATTTCCTCGTCTCTTGAGTGGACGACACAGGCTGACACCTGAATCTGTAGTCTAACTCCTTTTCTAGAGTTCTAACAGGGGGGAGGGGAAGCGGAAAGCAAATAAACGACTGCTCGGGAAAACAATAATGTGAGTTTATTCCCAGGAAATCAGCCAGTCTCAACAAAGAGAGCAACTGTCAAGTACAAAGTAAGTTCTCTCTCCGCATCCTGCGGGCTGAGCCGGAGCGCGGCTGTTGTGTTTCCCGTCTTCTGCATCCCCTTCTCGGTCACCTCTGCGTTTCCATCTGCACACAGAGCCAAAGCAGCAGATGCGCCCGCCAGTCGGGCTGAGCTAGGTGGATTGGCCAGAAAAGTTGTCAGGACCAGCGGGAGGCAGACCGGCGACCGCGAGCCCGCTCCCCAGCGTCCACCAGGTAAAACTTCGGGGCCCCCAGAGGAGAGAAGGGTAGGAGCAACCCAACTGAAGGGTAGCACAATTGAACCGGTCCGAGAGAACCAGGACTCCAGGACTGCTCTGAGTGGCTTTACCTAGAACCCAAAGCGACATGCGAGACTGACACTTTCCTCTTTTGGGGTTCTCCTGGCGGGCAGCAGTCATTTACAACCCGATCACCCAGACTGGCACCTGAAGATGCGGAGCCAGCTCCGAGGTGGCGTTGCCAGACAAGCGGCTCCCACACGCGGGCCAGGCTTCCCGGGCTGAAGCCCAGAGTTCGCTGCCCAGGACAGATCCTGCTCTGCGCTGATTCTTAGAATCACATTTCAAAACATCTTAAAGGACTCGGCCAACACACGCATGCAATATCCTCCAAGCACTGTCCTACCCACAGAGCGAACGGGGAAGCGACCCAACGTGGGGGGAGGAGGCAGGGAACTCGGAGAGCAACGGGGAAGTAGCTGGACAATACTCAGCGGAGGTTATTCCCCGGACAAAAAGCACCTGGCAAAGCGCGCCGAAGTCGGCCCCTTCGCTTCTCCACATTTCTGACAATGGCTTCCCGGGGAATTTTTTGAACACTCTGGCGGCAGCCAGCAGCAGCTCGCACGGCGAGCAACAGACTGGTCGTCCCCGGAGCCCCAACTACTTTTTCTTTCTCTGCTCCCCACTAACCCAATGCAGGCTGCCCCGGACGCCGAGGCCACCAGTTCACCCAAGAAAAGCAATGTCCCCCACGCACTTCACACAGCCGTGAACCCGCGCCCTGAGCGCGCCTCAGAGACACACAATGGGTCGTCACGATGAAAGTTACCTGCGCGCCAAGTGGCGCCAGCCGGGTGCCCCACGTCCCACCTGGCACAAAGTCCGGGGACATCTCTGCTTCTAACCTGTGCCCCCCCCCACCCACACCCCAGCCACCAAAGCTTCCCTCCATCCTTGCCCCGGGCTTGGGGGCACTCGTCCGGGCTCCAAAAGTCCCTCCCGGCCACTCACCTGCCGAGAACTGGCCTTGGGCCAACCCTAGGAGAGACCAAGGGGACAGGAGCAGGAGCGCCACAAAAGCAGGCAGCGCCGTCGCCGCCGAATCCATGGCGAGTTTGGGAGAAGTTTCAAGCAGCTTTGCAAAGAGCTGCCGGGGGACTCGCAGCCAAATCCACGGCCGGGCTGCGGGGCCGACCTCGGGGGGTGAAGGCGGGGGTCCGTAGCCGCCGGCGTGCCGGCACTTTTGCCTTCTTCGCGGTCGCCAAACTACCTCGCGGGCGAAAGCGTCTCCCGCGTCGCCGGCCGGTCGCGGCGGCAGCTCTCCATGCTCGGCAGAGGCTGCTCCTGTTACTCAAGAGTTACTTTGCTCTGGGAGGGAAGGGGGCGGAGCCTGGGGTGACGTCGCCCCGCGGGCTCCAGGCGCTTCTGAGGAATGCGGGCTCGGGCGCGCCACCGGAGAGACGCGCGCTACCCCGGCCGCGCGCCCTGCGCTCGCTCCCCGCGCCCGGGGCCCCGCCTTTGTTCGCCACCCGGGCCCCGCAGCGGCTTCCCGGCAGTTAGCGGGAACCCGGACGCGGCGCAGCTCGCAGCCAGGGTCCAGTATCCGGACGTGGATAGCAGAGTTTGCCAGCAGTGTGGCCGGACAGCCGAGGTCGAGCGCCGTGGACACTTGCAGCCCGAGGAGAGGCGTCGTGGGGTTGTGTCCCCAAGGTGGAGGTCAGACCCGAGCGGCTGCCGGTAGGAAGAAAGGGGTAGAAACTACCCTAAGGAAATACCAAGGTGCATTGAAAATGGACCGCTGCTTGTTCGTCTAGTCAGGAATAAGGCTCCCCCCATCACCACCACCACCACCACCATGGAAAACTTGCTGTTCCTTATTCCTGTAATAAATAAAACTTGGACCAAAAAAAATGTTTGGTAACTTTGCAGTGTGAACAGCTGGCTTATCTCCTTTTCTGGTTTATTTGTCATTTGCCGAATATTTGAATTTACTCTCCTAGTTGTTCTGGTAGCTCCTGGCCTCTTTGCTTTCTCTTAGGTCTGGTGGAGTAAATAAGGTTTTTTTATTTTTATTTTAATATCGTGTATTTGGACATAAGTTTTTAATAAAAGGACTTTACCTCGACAATGAAAACAGCAGTATATGATTGATCGAGAGGAACATAATTCTGTATTAAGACTGAAGTATTTTACAGTTTGCTACTTCTTTAGCAGCTTGAAGTGGTTTCACCATATGCCACCCTGACTTGTTTCTGTGGTAAGACTGTATAGTGCATATTTTAGTCGTTTTTGTAAAATATCATAAACGTAGGTGTGATCACAATTGAATAAACATAACTTTTATTCAGAATTCTGGCATTATGTATGTACAATTTCTAACAAGAGTTCATGGATTGACATCCGTCAGTTACTCAGACATCTTTACTTTTTTAAAATCAAGACAATGTGAAATTCAATTTAATATAGTATTCACTTAATTTGCCAAGCCACACATTCCTTTAATCAGAGATATGCTGTTATAACCAAGCTTAGAACAGATCTTGGAAATATAAATGTAAGTAAATGCACACCACATACATATACATATATATCATACATACATACATACATATTGGAAAGAGAAAGACTTCTTTTAAACATTTGGTAAGAATAGAATCTTGTTTTAAGCAGAATTTTGAGGCTTGTAGCTTGCTCATTAGCATACTTACCAGCCTACCATAACTTGTCAATTCAGCTCAGTGTTCTTAAGTTCATCCTTTCTTAGCGTACAATATAGCTGGATTTTAATGACTATAACTTTGAGCATACTCTGCCACCATTCCTATTTCTTAAATTGAGGAACTTTCCTAGATCACAGATAGCCAAAACCTGAAAGACATGGTTTTTTTTCTCTCTCTTTTTTCTTTCTTTGTTTTTTGGGGTTTTGTTTTGTTTTTAGTGGTACTGGCATTTGAACTCAGGGCCTCATGCTTGCTAGGCAGCCCCATATTTTTCTTTTTCAAGTACTTAGCAGAACTTTCTAAAATTTAACAGTAATTTGCCAAAGTAAAAACAAAACTCTAGCTGGGCTTGGTGGTTCATGTCTGTAATCCCAGCATTTGGGAAGCTAAGGCAGGAGGATTGCAAGTTCCAGGATAGGCTGGCTACATGTGAAACCTTGTTTCAAACAAACAAAACTCAACCAAAAATTCCCTATCCACATACAAATTCAACTGTGCTGTTCTTGGAAGAAAGATGTTTATTACTTGGTAATTTGGTTTTGAAAACACAAAACAAAAAGCTTCTTTAAGATTGACATATAGTGCCACAGTTCTTACCTTGTCCATTCCTTGGAATGGCTAAAGGATTCATTTTACTTTCTCTATCATGGGGTAATAACAGTAACAGGAAATGTTTGCAGACTGCTTCAAATGTGCTAGACACTGTCTTAAGATATACAGTATCACTTTGAGGCTTTAAGATTGTTCAATGTCTCATTGAGTTAAAGCAAAAAATCACATGATGTAGATAGAATTGCTGTCATTCAACAAATGAGAAAACAATATTAGAGGTGAATTTATCCAGCCACATATACAGGAATGAGCAATGGGAGAGGGGAAATGAAGAACAAGAAGGAAATTCTCAAAGGGAATCAGTAAACAGGAAAGATGCCTTCTCAGTAAAAACAAATGCAATAAAACTTTTGGACAAGTAAGTTCCCCCTTTTTTTCCTTAGGACCCATAACGATTACCAACCTGCATCAATTGAAATCATTTGAGACCATGGTTCTTCCATATAATGATGCCTGGTAAATATTAGAACCCTGCTAAGTTTTGTTATGTTTTGTTTTGTGACAGAGTTTATGCAGCCCAAGCTAGTCTCAAACTTGTGATTCTCTACATCAGCCTCCCAACTGCTAGGATTACAGGTGTGTACCACCACACCAAGCCTAAGATTTTGTTTATTTGAAAGAATGAATGTATATACCAATCACTAGTTTAAGTATAAATTTTATATAACTTTTAGATTTGTCAACTTCATTACAAATCACTAAAATATTCATATTTTTGATCCAGTAGGTAGTCTAACAAAATAATCCAAAATATAAAAAATGTATACACAGAGATACAAAAGTGGAAATAATACATAAGTCCAGCAATGAGCAAGTTCATGAAAATAATATAGTAGGCTGTCTCACAATCACTAGAAATGAAGGCTATAAAAAAAGTAAATTACAAAATGTAATAATACTAGGATAACATGTTGGGTAAAAATATCAGAATATAGTATATGGTTTTAGTTTAGGAAGATAAAAATGTTCTGGAGAGGGACAGTGCTGGTATCAGGACAGCATCAATGTCAATGAATGTATTCAATGACAACCAACTGTACATTTTAAAATGAATATGTTAAAATTTATGCTTTATGTATCTACATGTAGACGTATAAAATGACATTTAAAATTCAGATGACAAAAGTCTACATGTACTTTGATAACAAATAAGAAAAAAAAAAGAATGGGGGGAGGGGAAAAACAGACTAGAGATGTAGCTCACTGGCGGAGTGCTTGCCCAGCAGACCTAAGACCCTGGTTACATCTCCAGCAATTAAATAAATAAATAAATATAAACAAATAACATTTAGTATTAAGTTAATTACCAGTGGATGAGAATAATAAATTTTATGGCTGCTGTCCTCTCTTTTCCTATTTTATTGGGTTATAGTACACCTTTTATACGAGCACAGATTTGCAATTCTTCCTGAAGATTTACCACACGATGAACTTACACCTACATTTGACAAAATGTTTTCTGCAGAATCTCAGTTCTATCCAATGTTAATAAGGGCAATTAAAAAATAATATCTCAAGCCTGACACCAATGGTTCATGCCTGTAATCCTAGCTACTTGGGGAGTGCAGTAGAGAACACTTTGTTCAAACCCCAATTCTACTAAAAAAAAAAAAGAGAGAAAGAAAAAGAATCTCTTAAGATCAACTAAGTGTATAGAACTCTAGACTGAGCAAGGTTAAACAGTTTTCTTCACTATAAGATCTTTTCTGTGGTTACAAATATGATATTGTGCACTGTGAATCTATTTGACATGAAAGAATACAGTGTTTCTCTATTTTGGAAAATAGAACTCTTTAAAAGAGGAGTGTGTCAGTCATCTTTCCATCACTGTGAAATAAAACCATGACTGATGTAATCAACTTACAAAAAAAAAAAAGGTATATTTTGGCTCATGGTTTCAATCCATGGTCACTTGGCCTTGTTGGCTTTGGACCCGTGGAGAGGCAGTACAGAAGGGAGAAAGCATATAATAAAGGAAGCTGCTTTGGCCAGGAAGCCAAAGAGAGTGAGAGGAAGAGGCTATAGCCCCAATGTCCTCTTCAAGGACACACCTCCAATGACCTAACTTCCTCCCACTTAAATCTTCTACCAACCTCTCAGTGGTACTACTGTGTGGGGACCTAAGGGCCCATTCAAGATCCAAACTATAGCAGGAGGTATCTCTCAGAACTAGAGTTGTAGGAAAAGAATTTGGGAAACACTGCCTTAAACGCATTTAATATCTCTATGTCTCAATTTCCTTCATATGAAAATGAGACTACTAAATTGTATTTTTCAGAGAATTAATGAAGTATGTATTTTCTTACAGAAGTACTTTTAGTTAAAGATATAAGTATGAAAAGGCCTGGATGCTCATATTTGCCTAATAAATGTTATTTTCCTCCTCTTGTTCACTGAACGAATCTGTACTTAGCAAAAGCAAGGTCTTATTTACCCAGTGACAGAGCATGAGTGTACACACAGCATGCATTTAAAAGCAATTAGATAATATTCTCAGCTTGTTAATAGGAACTAATTGGTTATTATGCTTTTCAGTTTGCAAAGCATCTTCACCCATATGATCTGTCTGTCCTCACTCCAACCCTGTGAAAGAGGCAAGGCAGGTAGTATTATTAATTCCACTTAACTAATGCCACAGCTTAGAGGATTAAAATACGGCCCAAGGTTAGGCAGTTAATAGTAGGACTGTTAATTCTGACCTGGCTCTCTTGATTTTGCATCTCATTCCCTGCCCCAATTCCTGTGTACCTGATATTTACCCTCAAGGTCAATTTCTTAGGCAGAGACTCTTGGGTTGATAGGTGGAAATGAGCTTCTATTTTTTTTCCTTGGAAGGTGAAAAAGAAAACAAAAAATAAAATACTTTCTTACAGTAAAATTGTAGCAAGTGTATATGTGCTGTCAACAGAATCCCTTGGGAAGAGAGGGACAAGGGAATGTCTGAACAATAAAATCCTTGGACGGAGCATGAAGTTCCAGGAAAAAAAAAAAAAGCGTTCAT